TTCCGCGTCCTAGTCTCCAGGGAAGCAGAAAACAAGCTTGCTCCCTCCTCCCTGTGGCTTCCTCTCACATATTTATACATGGCTATCATATCCCCTCTCAGCCTTCTCTTCTTCAGGCTAAACATGCCCAGCTCCTTAGCACAAGAATGCACAAGAATGCTATTGTGTTCTACTTACTTGCCAGAAAGCTGTTGTAAATGGGGCTTTGGTCTGTTCTATTAGAGATCATCTCATGACAGAAATTTAATGAACCCAGTAAGCTAATTAATACATACAGAAAAACAGACATTTGTTTCTGCAGTAGGCCCTCCACATTAGCTGGGATCAGGGACACAGGGCCCTTGCAAAAGTTGGGAAACTGAATTTTTAAAAAGCTAGATATTGACATAGAGTTGTGCTAGAGGACCTAGGGAGGTCCTCTATGATCTCTCTCATCCAGCACAGCTCTGTAGTCACCTTTTGGCAGAAGGTGGCTGGAGGACCTAGAGATTGCTAAAGAGGCCATATTAATTGAATCTGTGAATAATCAAATCTGCAAACATTAAACTCACAAATGTGGAGGGCTGGCTATAATTGCATTAATGACTCTGGTATCCTTTCCAATGATGCACTGCATATAATTTCTAAACCTAAGAGGAAATTCATACACATTTGTGATATGATTGGCAGGTAGGTCAAACAATATGCAGGGCTAAGCAAGCACACAATAAATCCTTTAATTCTAGGCCAGGGGTCCTCAAACTTTTAAAACTGAGGACCAGGTCACAGTCCCTCAAACTGTCGGAAGGCCGGATTATAATTTGAAAACACCCATGAATGAACTGCTATGCACACTGCACATTTTAACAAATATAAACTTATTAGTATTTCAATGGGAAGTGTGGGCCTGCTTTTGGCTGATGAGATAGGATTGTTGTTGTTGTTGTTGTTGTTGTTGTTGTTGTGTGCTTTCAAGTAGTTTAAGACTTAGGTTGACTCTGAGTGAGGGCCGGGTAAATGACCTTGGAGGGCCAGATCCGGCCCTTAGGCCTTAGTTTGAGGACCCCGTTCTAGGCCAAGGAACCTGTGGAGATCTTGCGCTACTCCATAATCAAAACACCAGATCAGGGAAGTTTATTTCTTGATAAACTCTCTTCCAGTCAAAGAAAAGCATACTTTTTATCTACTACTACTTTCCTATAAAACACAATGCCTTTTTGTAAAACAACAACAACATTGTTACGTGTAATTCCTTCAGTTTTAAATTATAACAGACCAGCAACAGTTTTACAATTTGTGATTTGTGTGATCCATAGTTCAGCACATCACTGCTGAAAATATAGTGGGGATAAATATCATTTTCTATACACACAATAATTTTATTTCAGAATATCTTTAAAAAAAAAAACCTTTAAAATCCCATTTATTTGGACCTTGACATTCCTTTTATAAACACCTGTCCTTTCCTTCTAGAATCTACTGCACATTCTGGAAACAGGCTTCTGAGAATCATGTGACCTCCAAGAGGATCAATAGGTCTCTCCCATGTTTGATCCCACTCAAGCAAAACATCAAATCCAAGTTCCTTATAAAGGCCAGGTGCTGTTTTCACTAGTAAAGTGCTATTTTCACTGTAATGGTAGTTACTCGTTTAACAAACTGAAAGAACGCACAGGTTTCTAACACATACCAATGCAGTTCACTTTATTATGAAATAAATATTCTGTTCCACCGCAACCAAATTCTAAAAACCACAGTGTTTTGTTGAATTCATGCTCCCAACACAGATGATCTTTTGTTATAGACTAAGCTGGAAATGAGAAATTCTCTGAGATGAACCTTGCTCCTATTGTGGCCGCTCTGCTCAACTATTCTGTAGCATACATACCAATGTATGGTTATGTTTCATAATTAAATGGTCTCTTAAAACATGATACTATGTTCACAATACTACTGAACTCAAAGAATGGCTGTAAAGCCCACGGTGCCACCATGTTACCAAAGAGTAACAAAACAAGTATTTCAAAACCTGGAGTATAAAAGGAACAGAGCTAGGAGCTTTTGAAAACCAGAAAGAAGCAACGGATGGAAGATTTCAGCTCTCCAAGGCTGGCAGGGGAGCTTCAACACTGCATTGCAACATGTGACAGTAGAGCACCAAAATCCAGCATCTGTCCATCAGCCATAAGAAAATTATTGGCATTTCCAAACAGATTAAAATTATGTTGAACATACAGGAAGATTCAAAACAAGTGCTATGTTTACATAACCATCCTAATCATCTCCTATTTACATCTCTATACTGTTGATTATCTGGGTTGCAGGTAGATTATCCTTGATTTCCTTTGTTAAGACTGCAAATTTAATGTTATAATCATTAATGGCAGATATTGGTCTACCTTTTATTTCCTTCTTTAGGTTAAATCCAGAGTGGACCCATTGAAATCAATAGGATTTGAGTAAACCGTAGCTACAATGCATTCATTTCAGTGGGTCTGCTTTAAGTAGGAATTATATTGAATTTATTCTGCTCACTGTTATAACTGTTTTTCTACAAGACTTATAGTGCTAATTAGTTCCATAGTGACATTTTGCACAATTTACTGAATTAAGTATAATTTCAGTGTATATCCAGATATCTCTCCCCCCCCCCCAAATTGAAATGTTGAATTAAAAACACTACATCCCTTTGTTTACAATGCCGTTTGTTATATTTAAACATTTCTGTTTATATTAAAAGATTAGAACATGTACTAAACACTGACTGGATAACAAATGCTAGGTATCCTTTATGCTATAAATATATGAATATGGCAACATAAGATATATTTTACTCAAGCCATTTTAAACCACATGGAACGTTCATATGGCCTAAAACAGATTAAGAATGTGAAAAGAACTACAGGATGCAGTCTTGCCATTAAGGTTCCCCTTTGACCATAATATCCATCCCTGGTGCACTGCCTGTTTTGTTTTTAAACTTTCACCTGAAAGATGGGTATAAAAACAAAGTGAAGCAGTGTAAATCTACAAACATAATTCCAAAAAGACACAAGTGTTGATAAAAACAGATTGTTTACATGATTTCATAAATGAATTGTTATGTTGACTGATGTGATAACTGTTGCATTTGCAGACCTCTTGTATGTATATGGCAAAGGAGGAATTTTATTGATATAGTTTGGCATTCCTAGTCTATAGAGCAGTGGTTCCCAACCTTTTTTGATCAGGGACCACTTGACCAGGGACCACTCTTCAACATTAGTACCATAAGGGTTACGAATCAGCTTTTGGTCAACTTTAGATTTGGTTTGTTTATTTGGGGTGCTGAAACAGCAAACTGCATTGGATAGACCACATCAGCTCTATTTCCTGATACAGAACATGTGACATCCAGTAGTCACCATCTGCTTGCCCACAGAAAACCATATTTAACAAGCCTTGGCACTATAAGACGTTTTTGTGAGACCAGTTGCTCTTGTTGCAATGGTGTAGTAACGGTGAGGCCATGGACCATATTTTAGTTCTTGCTGACCACTGATGTCCACAGACCACAGGTTGGGAACGACTGTTCTAGAGTTAAACAAGACTGCATCTATGCTGCAGAAATAATGCAATTTGGCACCACCTTAATGGTCATGGCTTAAAGCCATGGAATCACAGTCGTTTCACAAGGTATTCATCTCCTTAACCAAAGAGTGCTGGTATTTCACCAATCTGTCCAACTAGGAAGACCAAGGGTGCATCTTCACCAGGCATGGGCAAACTCTGGTCCTCCAGGTGTTTTGGACTTCAACACTTACAATTCCTAACAGCCTCAGCCACTTTCTTTAAGTGGCTGAGGCGGAAAAGGAAGGGGCCTGAGGCTGTTAGGAATTGTGGGAGTTGAAGTCCATGCCTGATCTACACTGTAGAATTGATCTATGCTTGCATCTGACTGATGCAGTTTGACACCACTTGAGCTGTCATGGAATCAGGAGGGTTATGGCATTGGTGAGGCACCAGCATTCTTTGGTAGAGGACAGCAAAGACCTTGTCAATCCACTCCAAGGATTCCCTAGCATCGAGCCAGGGCAGTTCAAGTGGTGTCAAACTGCATCAATCCATTCTACAGTGCAGATGCCACCCACCCCCCCTCTACAAGTTACATTGGGGCTACCTTCCCACGGGGGGAGACGGGCAGCGAGCAGGTGCCCCCTTGGCGCCCCCTAGTGAGGCCACAACCGCTATCCCTTCTCTCTAACCACAACAAGATCATCGCAGACCATTTGATAATTTTAAAAAGGGAAAGGCATTGGCACAAATAAGCAGGTTAAAGCGAGGAGCTTGGGTTTCGTCTGTTTCTCAACGTGCGGGACCACAAAGGGTCCCCAAAGTCCTCGCACACAAGGCGCACAAGCTATTCCCTCTCTCCCCCCCCCCCTCTCTCCCTCTCCCTCTCCTTCCGAGGCGAGCCACGTAGAGAGAGCGTGAGGTCCATCTTTATTTTCCAAACAGACCCCCTTTTCAAGCAGCGCAGGAATGAAGCCGAGGAAGAAGGGATGGAAGAAGAGGGCCTTCTCCTCCCGCCTCTTTGGGTTCTGTTTTTTCCATCATGACACCAAATGACACCCTCATTTTGGGGGAGAAGGAAGGGGGGAGTCACTTCTTCTCCTTCCCAAAATAAATCCTCTTGAGGGTCTCCTATTGGGGGGGGGGGAGAGAAAGAGAGGGAGAGAGACCAGGAAGGCGATCAACGTTGCCTCCTAAATAAAGCAGCGAATCAGCTGGAAGGGTGCGACAACCCCCGCACCCTTAACCTCCACACACCACGCACAAAGAGAGAGCATCTCCTCGGGAAACACACGCACGCAGGGAACGCCATTTCCCCGCCGACAAAGCCCCAACTTGGGGGCCTCGAAAGTGCCAAAGAGGAGGCGCGCAACAGGGATGGGGCGCTCTCTGTGTGTGTGTGTGTGTGTGTGTGTGTCTCCTGGCGCGCGCTCAAGAAGACCTGGCGAGGGGGAAAGAGGGCCACCTACCCACGCCGTACTTCTCCTCCTCGGTGGGGGTCCACATGCCGCTGGCGGGGGCGAGGGCGGTGGGGGTCCCTCCTGCTCCGCCTCCTCCTCCTCCTCCGCTGCTCCGGCACCCGGCTCCCCCGGGCCAGAGCGGGCCTCCCGCGACGACACCGCGGTGTTCATGGGCGAGCAGCGAAGGCGGCGGCGGCGGAGGCTTGTCGGGGTGGTGATGAGCCCGGGCCCGATGCTGCTGCTGCTGCTGCTGCTGCTGTTCCCTCTCCCGCTGCTCCCGCTGCTGCTGCTCCGTGCAGCCCCCCGGGCACCGCGGCTGCGGCGGTGGCGACGTCTTCCCGGCCTCCTCTCCTCCCCGCCAGGCGGGCAGGTGCCTCTCGGACCAAAAGGAAGGGCAAGAAGGGGAAGGAGGGCAACGGGACGGAGGCGCGAGGCGGAGCGCGCGCGAGAGAGGGAGGCTCTCCTTCGCCTGGGCAGGTGCCTCCACGCGCGCGCGCGCACCCTCACCCCGGCGAGACCCGCGAAGGACTTCGCCTCCTCCTCCTCCTCCTCCTCCTCCTCCTCGGGTCCTTTCTTAATCCAAGCGCCTCAAGGGACCTCCTCCTCCTCCTCTTCTTCTTCTTCCTTCTCCTCTTCCCCCACCTCCTCGGCCTCCCTTTTCTTCCCTCTCAGTGATTGAAGGAGGCACCCACTCCTCCTCCTCCTCCTCTTCTTCCTCCTCCTCAGCGGCGGCGGCTGTTGTTGTCGCTGCTGAAGGACTCGCGCGCCCACCCACTTGCCAAACTGTGCGCATGCGTGAAGCCTCTCTCTCTCTCTCTCTCTCTCTCTCTCTCCCCCTCCCCCTTTCTCTGTTTCTTGTCACCCTCGACTCAGGCGTCCTTGCTGTGTGTGGCACTCGCTCCGAGGCGCCTTTCTCTTTTGGGGGAGCACCTGAAGGGACTTGGTTTCTTTGCTCTTTGAAGTGTCATTGAATAATACAAGGATTCCTTGGTACCAGGTTTGGGTCCCAGGATAGCATCCCCCCCTCCCCATGGGCATCAAAATGCTCAAGTCCCTTTTCTTTTGAGGTGTCACTGAATCATACAAGGGGTCCTTGGTAACAGGTCTCAGGATAACCCCCCCAGGCATGTAGCGGGGGGGGTGGGGGGCTTGAGGGGCTTCAGCCCCCCCGAAATTCTGATGGTGGTTCGCGAAAAGGCCTTACTGGTGCATTATTTAAACTGTTATGTTTATTCATATCATGATCTGATCACCATACTCAATATATCCCATATGCATGGGGGTATTGGGGTAACGATACCAAAGGTTTGCTAGGGTAGACCCTCTTTCACTCAGACTCAGCCCCCCCCCCCCCCCCCCCCACCCCCCCCCCCCCCCCCCATCGAAATCCTGGCTACGGGCCCCCCCCCCCCCCCCACTTTCCCCGTGAGCATCAAAACGCTCAAGTCCCGTTGGATACAATGGCATGGCGGAGTAAACTGGCCAAATCAAAGTTTAACTTGTGGACATTTTAAAAAAATGGATGGTGGTTAACTTGTGGACATTTTTTAAAAAATGGATGGTGGAATCCGTGGATAGGGCGGGCCGGCTGTACAAAAGTGAGGATGGTGCTTGCTACTGTGTTTTCTCTTCCTGTGCCTGGTTGTGGAAGCTGGAGAGGGAAGCGAGCAGGAAGGAAGAAAACCCATTCCTTGTGCCAAGCATGGGCAAACTTGGGCCCTCCAGATGTTTTGGATTCCAAATCCCACAATTCCTAACAGCCTCAGGCCCCTTCATTTCCCCCTCAGCCACTGTTGTGGAAGCTAGAGAGGGAAGAGAGTAGGAAGGAAGAAAGCCCACTCCTTGGAGCAGGCATGGGCCAACTTGGGCCCTCCAGGTTTTTTGGTCTCCAACTCCCTCCATTCCTAACAGTGTCAGGCCCCTTCGCTTAAGTGGCTGAGGGAGAAAGGCAGGGGCTTGAAGCTATTAGGAATTGAGGGAGTTGGAGTCCCAAACACCTGGAGGATCCAACTTTGCCCATGCCTTCCTTGGAACATGGTGCTGGAGGAGAGCTCTGGGGATACTCCAAGACTGCTTCAAAAAGAAGACAAATAAATCATCCCTAGAGCAAATTAGGTCTGAACACTTTTCTCCAAGGCAAGATGACTAAACTGAGACTGTTGCACTGGGGATGCACCATGAGACTCACTAGAAAAAGCAATAGTGCTTGGAAAAATTAAAGGCAATTGGAAAAGGGGAAGACTGGATTTCAGATGGAAAGACTCCCTCAAGGAAGCTGCAGCCCTGAGTCTGCAAGGTCTGAGGATAAGGGAGCTTGAGGATCTCTCATTCAAGGGGTTGTCATCAATATTGGCAGACAGGAAATGAGATTTAAAGATGGCCTTAAAGTTAACCTTAAAAATTGTGGCATAGACACCGAGAACTGGGAAGCCCCGACCCTCCAGTGTTCTAACTGGAGATCAGCTGTGACTAGCAGTGCTGTGGAAATTGAAAAGTCATGAATGGAGGGCCAAAGGGAGAAACGTGTCAAGAGGAAGGTGCATCAAGCCAACCCTAACTGGGACCACCTGTTGCACTCCAAAACAGGATCCTCTCTGATGTTAAACACCACACGGTTGGGTTAAAATAGCATGCAGTTTAATGAGGGGAATAAAAACAAAAGCAATAAAAAGTAATCCACAGTAAAATATAAATCCAATTGATTAGGAAGAAACAGGAGCAATTAGTCCAAAGAGAAATAGTCCAAAAAAGTCAATAAAACTAGATACTTGAATTCAAAGGCAAATAACAACAAAGGCACTTAAACCAGGAATCAAACAAAGACAAGAATCCAGGAACTTGGCATGAAGAACTTAATGTGAATCTAACATTGATTCATCTGAAGCTAAATTCTGTACTTGGCACTTGTATCCCTTCCCTATTTCCCAAACAGCTAACTTTGGTTTCACTTTTAACTTCTGCTGTAATTTAGCTGAGTGTCATAATTGCTGGTTTGTTTGTCTTTGCTGGCTAAAACATTTCTTCCATTCAAGGCTTCATTAAAATCTGCACCTGGAGATAACTGACCAGGGGACTGCGGCAGAGCCTTTCCCAGGCTCAAGATCTTGAGAATCCTCTTTCAGCAATACAGGCCTCTCTGACCCATCATCTGAACTGCATTCAAGCCCCACATCTCTAAAACCAGACGCAGAAAACAAACCATCATCCCCATTCCCTTCAGGAACATCTTCATGTACAGCAACCCCATTCCCATCAGAGGAATCAACTTGAACATAAACAACATTGTCATTCCCATCATCCATAGAATCATAGAATCATAGAGTTGGAAGAGACCTCATGGGCCATCCAGTCCAAACCCCTACCAAGAAGCAGGCCAAAGCAACCTGATCATCAGACACAATCACAGACTGAACAGGCTGACATACAATACCACCTTCCATTTGGAAACTGATGTTCTCACTGTGGAAGAACATACAGATCAAGAATAGATCTCCATAGACACCTAAGGACACAAAATTAAGACCCGACACTTGGAAGGCAATCATACTTGTCCACAAGGGATAACCTATGATGATGATGATGGTGATGATCAGTTAAAGTCAACTTCAAGGCAGTTAACAATAACAACAAAAATCCACCACACAACTTCACCATGGGGAATGATCTTCCCCAGCAGAGCTTCCTATGTTTCTAATGCAAATTGAAGATTCATAATGTCCTGTTTGCTATTAAAACATTTTAAATAATTGTTTTAGTATTTTATCATAATTTTCCTCTTTTACCTTGGGTTTATTGTATTTTCCAGCCGTTAGGCAACAGGAGACTTTGACAATATTGTTGAATTATGGATTTCTTATAGGACTTGAAGAAATCCATATGCCTCACAGACGACAATTTACCCACCTCTGAGATGAATTATTTAGTGTCCCTGTAGTTAAAACCACATCTTGGTAGCAAATGAGGCTCCTGCTTAGCCTAAGGGGCATAGATTTGGAGGAAAATGCTTTCAGGAAGTTTTTGCTCTGAGAAATTACCAACCTTTTAAAGTTGTGGGGAGGAATATTAAATGACAGTGTCTCTGACTATATGGTTGGGAATGTCTTCTTAATAGCCTTTTGACAAAATACTGCACTCCTTAATTCAGTGGCTTCAGACAAATTCCAAAGTTAAAATCAAATGGATGGAGTAGTTTCATGAGGAATGAGGTAAGAAGGGGCACAACTGTGTAACACTAGTTCAATGGATCTCATTGACTGCCCCACTACTGACTACACTGTGAGGGGAAAGATTGTATTTTTTTATCTTATCAGATTTAGGGGACTGGCAATTTTCCCTTCTGATGTGTCAGGAAAGGGGACTATATTTGTTTACTTCAACTACAACTGTTTCCTTCTCTCCTGGAAATTCCCTGCAGACTAGCAACCAATGGCCCATGGACTAGCATCCGTTCATTGCCTACCACTTTAAGGAGCGGTAAAACAAAGCATTTCCAGTGGCATGGCCCTCAACAGAATGTCCGTATCTAATGTGGAATGACACACTAATGAACAGAGGCTGAACTGGAACAGCAGCATCTGAACAGATTGATAAAGCAATAACAGGGAACTTCATAACCGTGGTTGGAATGGGCCTTGAATGTAATGACAAGGTCAGGTGAAATGGCTGTAGAATGACTGATCTAGAATCGAATTGCCGGCATTTATGTTGGAAAGCCTGAGGAGAATTAAGTAAAATTATAGCATCTGGAGTGGAACATCAGTGCACTGGAGTATATAGTGGGGAGGCAGTTTATAGAGTGATTCATAAAATCTGGAGTGTTGCCACTGGAATAATAGTATCAGGAGTACAATGTGATTGGAGTCAAAAAGCAGGACCCTAGTGAAATGACAGAAAGTGTGGTTAGAAAAAGCATTTGAATGGTAATGCAGCAAAGGAATGTTCGCATTTGGTCACAAATAACATCACTCTTGGCCCACTGTGATTAACTGCTAAATGTCAGGATCCAGAAAAGAATAGTTGGCTGTAGAATGAAAAAGTAGTAATATGATGGATGCAGAAGAAGGCAAAATGAGAAGATAGCCTCTATAGCAGGCATGGGCCAACGTGGGACCTCCAGGAGTTTTGGACTTCAACTCCCACAATTCCTAACAGCCTCAGGCCGCTTTCCTTTTCCCCCTCAGCCGCTTAAGTGACTGAAACGGAAAGGGCCTGAGGCTGTTAGGAATTATGGGAGTTGAAGTCCAAAACACCTGGAGGGCCCAAGTTCACCCATGTCTGCTCTATAGCAAAATATGCCTGTCAAATAGTGCCATTACTCTCGATTTTACAGCATGTGTAGATGGGACCTTAGATTTTTACAGTTCACCAAATACTCTGTTTTCCAACCACATAAGAATAAAGGAAAGACTTCTTTAATCTAGATTTTCTGTTCCTAGATTATTTTGCCACATTGTATAAATAAACAAGGACAATCCCCTATAAATAATCAGCCTTCTCATATAGAAAGTTGAGGTATGAGAGTGAAGGACTGCTGTCATTCTCACAGCCTTATCATGGCGGTGATAGTGTGCCTTCAAGTCATTGTGATTCTAAAATGATCTTGTCAGAGGGTTTTCTTAGGAAGATGTATTTAGGGTGGGATTGACTTTGCCTTCCTGTGCTTGGTCCAAGGTCACACAGTGGATTTTCATGGCTGAGAGGGGATTTGAACCCTACTCTCCAGAGTCATAGTCCAATACTCAAACAACAACATCATGCTGCCTCCACGCATACAAAGTAAAACTATGAGGCGCTGTCGA